GGAGGCAGCGCTTCCTCTGCTTCTAGCCTCTTGCTCATACAATTGTAGTAAGCGACTAAAGGTTTAACTCTTTCATTTTTGGCTTGTGGCTTTAATTGGCTACTCCGTCACCTGGCAGCTCAGTTCTCGCTCCCTGCTAAGCTGAGCTCCTGACAGCCTCCTTCCCTAGGTTATCACTAACTGCAAAAAGTCATTTCATGTAATTTTGCATGAGGGATCCGGACAAGCTCATGGTCTACAGGATCCATTCTCTTGGCCTGGGTAGGACAATTAGGATTCCTGATTCCAAAGTATTTCATAGGGATCACTAATTGTTCTTGTTTTTGTCATAATGGCCCTGCAGATCTATTGCGTTTGTTAAAGGAGGCCACAGTTTAAATATACCTCTACATCAAACACTCATCGTCACGTCACCAAAACTTAAAACTATCCTGATTTCCCTGAAACAAAACCTAAGCTTTTTTTTCATGTCAGATAACCTGGTAGCTTCCTAGCTAATCAGGTACAAACAGGTAAGCTTATGTAGTACTACTATCCTAAAAGGAATATATGTTTCTAGTAGCCAATCATAACACAAAACAAGGTACTTCATTCATGCTTTATAAACCGAGTTTCAAGCTACTTTTGGTTTGGAAGTCTCCCTATTTTCCAACAGTTTGTTTCCCACTCAAAATATTTGTCCCATGTGAAGTTTTCTGAATTTTCTTTTGACACATTCTACCAGGGTCCTGTGCTTCTACACACTCTCTCACCAGATGATCTCCAAGATGATCCCTGAACAAAAAAGGCAACAAGATCTTGCAATACAGTTGATTATGAAGACAACGGAAGGCTTTCCAAACAGTGATCTCTAGTTTTCTCTGAACTGGTCAGCCCCTCAAAAATGAGAGAATGGGGTGCCTGGGTGGCTCAGTTGGTTAAGTGCCTTCGGCTCAGGTCATGATCCTGCATCGGGCTCCTTGCTCAGTGGGGAGTCTGCTTCTCCCTCTCCCTCTGATCCTCCCCCTACTCATGCTCTCTCAAAAAAAAAAAAAAAAAAAATCTTTACAAAAAATGAAAGGGGGCATCTGGGTGGCTCAGTCGTTAAGCGTCTGCCTTCGGCTCAGGTCATGATCCCAGGGTCCTGGGATCGAGTCCTGCATCGGGCTCCCTGCTCCGCGGGAAGCATGCTTCTCCTCTCCCACTCCCCCTGCTTGTGCTCCCTCTCTCGCTGTGTCTGTCAAATAAATAAATAAAATCTTAAAAAAAAAAAAAATGAAAGAATGGCCAAAAGTGGGAATTGAGAGACTGAATATATAAATGAACAATGGCCAGATATACGTTTGTATGTTTAGAAGTTTTCACAATACAAAATTTAAAATATTTTTAAAATGTCAGTGTCATTAAAGATTAAACAACAGAGAGTGATTCTAGATTAAGAGACTAGAGACATGATAAGTAAATGCAGTGCATGCTCCTTGATTGGACTGTAGATTTTTTAAAATTAGCTATAAAGTACATTATTGGAAAAATTGGGGACATTGAAATTGGACTGTATATTAGACAATAGTATTGAATCAATGTTATATTTCCTGGATTGAATAATTTTTATATGGTTATGTAGGAGAATGTCTTTGTTCTTAGGAGATAATGTTGAAATACTTGGGGTAGAGTGTCATGGTGTTTGCAACTTACAAATAGTTCATGAAAAACTATATGAAGGTAGAGATAAGATAAATGAAAGAGGGGCACCTGGGTGGCTCAGTCGTTAAGCGTCTGCCTTCGGCTCAGGTCATGATCCCAGGGTCCTGGGATCGAGGCCTGCCTCGGGCTCCCTGCTCGGCGGGAGGCCTGCTTCTCTCTCTCCCACTCCCCCTGCTTGTGTTCCCTCTCTCACTGTGTCTCTCTGTCAAATAAATAAATAAAATCTAAAAAAAAAAGATAAATGAAAGAAAATGTTAATTAGTGAAACTGAAAAGTATAGAATGTAAATTTAATATTCTTAAAATTTTCCCATAGGTTTCCCATACGTTTTTTCAAAGTAAAAAGTTGGTGGGAAAGGAGTACAATAAAATACATGTAATATTACAAAAAAATAAAAAGCAAAAATTCCCAGATACTTGTATCTACATTTGTTGCAATGGAAGGATAATCCAAAAAATGAATAATAGTTGTTGGGGGGGCGCCTGGGTGGCTCAGTCGTTAAGCGTCTGCCTTCGGCTCAGGTCATGATCCCAGGATCCTGGGATCGAGCCCCGCATCGGGCTCCCGGCTCCGCGGGAAGCCTGCTTCTCCCTCTCCCACTCCCCCTGCTTGTGTTCCCGCTCTCGCTCTCTCTCTCTGTCAAATAGATAAATAAAATCTTAAAAAAAAAGTTGTTGGGGAGGAGAAGACAGGATTAACAAGAGGGGATTGAAAACTAGATTTTTCTGAATGTACATTTTCCATAATGTTTTTGAAATGTACTTTGTAAATTAGTCTTATATTCTAAATAGCCTATCAGTGATGATTTTCATTTCTTACTTTATTTGGATATTATTTAGTAGTGTGGTATAATGTCTCCTTATCTATCCAGCCATCCATCCATCCAAGGGAACTAGTGTATAATTACTGTTTGTAAATGCTCCTAAACATTAGAAAACTGTCCTATATTCAGAACTATTAGGCCTTTATTATATTCTTTTTCTGCATGATTGCTCGTTTGTGATTTGTTAAATATCTCTTTACTAGTTTATTTTCCTCATTTTAACCATTTTTCCTCTCTGTGACCTATATTTTGATGTTATTTGATGCAAAAAATCAGTGTTATGTTTTCATTAGGCTTTGTAATGTTTTTCATTGTACAGAGATTTCTTAAGATTGAAGATTACAAGAAGTGAAGTTATGAAGAGTGAAGTTTCTCAATGAGAATCAATTCACTCACATACTTTATTGTCTGAACCCAAAGCTCCTCAGACTGGTTCCTCCAGGGCTAAGCAAAGAAAGTAAAAGCATGTGGTCTGCTTACGTCTTCTGGGTAGTATTTTTTTTACTTTATGGGGTGCAGAGAGCTTAAATAACTTGCACTCAGCCACAGAGCTAGAAAATATTGGAGCAGTATTCAAATCATGCCCTGTCCCTGTCAAAGTTAAATTACCTTGAAGGTAATAGAGTGATTCATCTTGGCAGATTCGCTAAATTTCAAAAAATTCCGTTTGAAGCTGGCATGAGGTCAGCAAATAAAACTCAAGGCTTGCTAGATGTACGAAACTTAATATAGAGTTTCTGCATAAAGCTAAGACCCCTAATAGCTATACTTCCAAAATAAAACTAAATCAGAAATAAACTTTGCCATCTAGATGGGAATGGCAAAGGAACATGTCTAGATCTTGCCTTTCTCTTGATCTAATAATTAATCACTACAAACCAGCCTTGTGGCTAACTCATGTTATATGTAGGAGTCTGAAAAATTTCAAGATCATTTGAAGTGGCCTTAGGTCGGATGCATCCTCAAGAGAATGGCTGAAGGAAAAAATTATCAATTTATGAAATGATGAAATTATATCCCTTATGCCAAAGTTTAAAAAATTAACCCCAGATGGTTCAAGGATTTACATACTTAGAAACTTCAGAATTCTTAGTAAAAAGTATAGGAGTGTCTTTAGGCCTCAGGGCAGAGAAGGATTTCTTTCTTTCTTTTTTTTAATATTTTATTTATTTATTTGACAGAGAGGGAGAGATAGAGCAGGAACACAAGCAGGGGGAGTGGGAGAGGGAGGAGCAGGCTTTCCACTGAGCAGGGAGCCCAACGAGGGGCTTGATCCCAGGACCCTGGGATCATGACCTGAGCCAAAGGCAGACGCTTAACGACTCAGCCACCCAGGCGCCCCCAGAGAAGGATTTCTTAAGCAAGACACAGAATGCACTTACTATAAAGACTTACAAGTCTTGACTATATTGAAATTAAAAATTTTATTTAACAAAAGACTCCTTAATGTGAAAAAAACCATTTAAACTAGAAGAAGACATTCACAATACATACAATTGGGAAAAGATTACTAAGAGAGTGAGGGAGAATACTTGAAAGGGAGAACTTTCATATATTATTTTATATCCTTGAGAACCTCTGTTTTACAGTGTGCATATATTATGTTGATTTTTAAAATTAAATTGAAGAAATAAAAATATCCACTGAAGTTAGAGTCAATATCTCCTCTTGTAGAGATTATCTGATAACCTTCGAAGCCTAGATGACGTGGATGAGGGAATTCAGGATATTAATACTATCAGCCTTCTGTAAATGATCAAAATTTTCCATTAAAAAGATTTTTAAAACAAACACACCATAGCTAATTGTGAGAACAAAATAGTTTGCACAGCATATGCTATCTATTCTAGAACAACTACCAAACAAGATTTCTAGAAATGCACTAGAAAAAGTAGAAGAACATGCATGGGATAATACACACCAGCTTCAGGACAATGATTTCCTGTGGGGAAGGAAAGGAAAGATGCTCTAAGTGCTATCTATTTTATTTTATTATTTATTTATTTATTTATTTTTATTTATTTATTTGAGAGAGAGAATGAGAGAGAGAGAGCACATGAGAGGGGGGAGGGTCAGAGGGAGAAGCAGACTCCCTGCCGAGCAGGGAGCCCAATGCGGACTCGATCCAGGGACTCCAGGATCATGACCCAAGCCGAAGGCAGTCGCTTAACCAACTGAGCCACCCAGGCGCCCCTAAGTGCTATCTATTTTAAAGAAGAGAGAAGTGAGGCAAATGTGGGAAAATGTTAACATCTTGTTAAATGGGTCGATAGTGGGGTTGTCACATAGGTATTGGTTATATAACTTTTTGAATGTGTGAAATCTTTCCTAATTTACATTTTTAACTAAAATTAATAACATTGGGAAGAAATGTGCATCAACACTAGTTGTTTTAGGATGTTGGAAATAAACGGGATTTGTCTAGAGTCCCTACGTGTTCTATAATGACCACCTCTGACGTTTATATTTTAAAACACGACACACTTGCTTGAAGGATTTTGAAATACTAACCAAACGGAGAGTTGGGAGACAACAGGGAGCAGAAGGAAGAAAATGTAGATTCGACGAGCCTGCCCTCAGCCTGATCCACCTACCTCTGGAAGGTAGAGCAGAAACCTTAACCCAGGCACGGAAAGAGTCCGGGTCAACGAGGCCTCCAATCCAAACCACGCTGGCAATCAGCTGTGTGCTGGGGCAGGGACCTTTGAGGCTAACTGCCACCTGGCTCAGTGGAGACGATCACGGATAGCCTCTGAGAGCTGGCTGAAGTTCAGGATCCGGGACGAAGCCCGAGTGGCTGGCTCCCCAGCGCCACCAGGGAAGGGCGCCCAGTGTCAATTGGGTCGACTCACCCGGAACGGATGGCGAGGAGTCGCAGGAAGAGGCGGGGCTGGCCGGAAACCGTAAAAGGGGGCACAGGCTTCGCCCCTCGCTGGAGTTCCGCCGGCGCTCCCTGGACATTGCTCTGCTTGGGCTGCGGGACCTAGCATGGTCGACGACGTAGGTGCCGCTAAGGCCCAGGGGGACGAATGGACGCCCGCCCAGTCCCTGGACAGGCTGCTCAGGTCACCACTTCCACCACCGCGGATTCGCACCCGGCCGTGGTGGTTTCCTGTGCAGGAACTGAGAGACCCACTGGTGTTTTACCTGGAGGCATGGCTGGCTGACTCCATCTTCGGTAAGCCACCCCAGGGGTGCTGGTGGTATGACTCCCCTCCAGTCCAAGAGGAGAGAAACCCCGCAGAGCAACTCTCAACAGTCTCTGCCCGATTTGCAGGCCACCTTTGACGCCACGATGCCCACCTTCCAGCTCTTCCCTTCTCCGGCCAAAATTCCCTTCAAATTTAGCTCCTACTCACCTTCGACCTTGCTTCCCCTCAGAGTCTCTCTTTTCCTGTTTAGGCCCAGACCGAGCCATAATTCCAGAAATGGAGTGGATGAGCCAAGTCCTGCTGACGGTGGACATAGTTAACTCTGGGGACTTGGTTGAAATCACCATCTTCGGACGGCCCCGTGTACAAAATCGGGTAAAGAGCGTGCTCCTGAGCCTGGCATCCTGGCACCAGAAACATCGTGCCCGAGGTGAGGGTCTTTAAAAACCTGCATGTGGAGGGAGCCACCAGTGAACCACCTGGCTGTACCGGGCTTTCTATCAGCCTTTATTACCTTACCAAAACTTTTTGCAGTTTTCTAACTGCAGTGTTCTGCATGCAGCCCCTGGGCAACCCTTTGTAAGAGGAGTCCCAAGTGGGACGTTGGGAACGTAAACAGATCTAACACATTCACTGCCCATGCAGCGTCAGCTTGGTTTCACCACTGTTTCCAGATCTCAGGTTCAGAGCCTCCACCTGAGAAGTGATGCTGCTAGCCCCTCCCCTCCTCCCTCACTCCCTTCAATGATGGAGTAGTTTGGAACAGAAAGCATTTTTCCTTATCCAGCTGAGAAGATGAAACAACTTGAGGAGTTCTTGAAGGCGGGTGCATCAGGTCCCCAGGCGCCCCAGCATCCTGTTGCATAAGTATTTTCAGGAGCATTGTGAGAAACAGTCCTGCTTCTACTACTAAAGTTGGAGAGAAGCAAGTATCCATAAATCTCTGCATTCTTTTTTTTCCTGTGTCTTGATGGGTAGTGCTTTGATTATTTTGATGCAAAAGTGAGTTTGTAGTGCCATTCTAGTAAATGAATTTCCTTTTTGTCCAATGGCATAAAGATCTTTGCTCACTTAAAATTAAGCGAATATATAAAAGATTGATTCTGTTCATTCATGCCTTGATGTGAGGGCTGGGTAAAAGGCTGATAGGTAGTGGTTTTATTTTTGTTTTTTCCTTTGCCTCTATCATTTTGAATCTACTAACCCTTTTATGATTTTATGGCCAGAGTCAGGCCCTCAAGCACAGGCCCATGAATTTGCATTTCTAATAAGCTCATAGGTAATGCCTGTGTTTCTCCTCTGAGGCTGTCACTTTGAAGTTGGTGGTTTGGCCTCTGGGTAGCACCTAGTGTGCATTTTCTTCTTGGAGTGGAGGCTTCCTTCCTGCACATGGGTGGGTGCTCCAACATGAAAGCTGAGGCAATCAGTTATTTATTCTGTTAGCATTGTGATTCAGCAGAGAGCAGCCAGGGTCCTTGGCAGCTTGGCTGTTGGAAGGCATCCTGCCACCAAGCCAGCTGTCTCATTTTCCTCTGAGGCCTGCACAGGTGCCCTGCATGAACTGGGCTATTTTTCCATTACTCATTACCATGACCAATTTGTGCAAAACAGCCCCAACCTCTTGCCGTCTCTACTTTCAGGAAGCAGGATTCTTGGGACAGAGGTTGTCAAGAGCTCTATGGCTTCAGCACAGAGTTGGAATTGATTTAACTCATGAAGTTTCTTCACCCCTATGCATAATGGATTCTGTCTGTTTGCAAGGGTTGTAAACACACATGAGCAAGTCTTTTAATTTTAAAGATTTTACTTATTTATTTGTTTAGAGTGTGTGCACGGGTAGGCGGGTGCAGAGGGAGAGAGAATGAATCCCAAGGAGACTTGAGTTGCGCAGAGACAGAATTGGGGCTGGATCCCACTACCCTGAGATCACGACCCGAAATCAAGAGTCGGAGGCTTAACCAACTGAGCCACCCAGGTGCCCTGTACAAGTCTTTTAAAATGTGCTGCTTTGATTACAAGTGATATTGAACATTTTCCTATTTTGCTTCACATTTTTTTTATTAAAAGATTTTATTTATTTATTAGAGAGAGAGAGAGAGAGAAACAACATGAGAGGGGAGAGAGCCAGAGGGAGAAGCAGGCTCCCCGCCGAGCTGGGAGCCCGATGTGGGACTCGATCCCAGGACTCCAGGATCATGACCCGAGCCGAAGGCAGTTGCTTAACCAACTGAGCCACCCAGGCGCCCCTTTGCTTCACATTTTTATAAAATCCTTTTACATTTTTCTTTATTCGTTCCTATATTCTTTAAACTTTGAAGATATGGATTTTTATTATCTGTACAAGCTTTTGTAACAAATAATAGTCCATTATAACCGGTATTTTCTACCCCATTCCTTCTCAAATTTTTTGTATATGAGAAATTTTCATTTTATGTAGTTAAACTAATTATGTTTTCTGTGTCATTTCCCCCTCCTCCCAACCCCTTACTTTTAAGCTTAGGTACTCCTGCTTTTTCTCCTTCTGCAGAAATTTGACAAAATATTCCTACAGGTTATTTCTAGTGGGAAATCTACAAAGCCATTGAACATTGTTTTACTGTTATTTGGAGGCAGAGGGTTATGCTTAAAACATTCTAATTTTCTAAAAATTATCCAGAATTAAATTACTAAATTATCCTGCATGTTTTTCATCCTTTATATGCACTAACATGTTGAAACCCTAACCCCTAGTACCTCAGAATGTGACTGTGTTTGGAGAGGCCTTTAAAGAGGTAATTAAAATGAAATAAGGTCCTATGGGTGGGCCCTTCTCAAATATGACTGGGGTCTTTATGGGAAGAGGAAATATGCACACAGATAGGTGGGTGCATGGAGAAGATCATGTGAGGAGACAGCAAGATGGCAGCCATCTGCCGGTGAAGGGGAGAGGCCTCAGAAGAAACCAACTCTGATGACACCTTGATTTTTGAATTTCCAGCCTCCAGATCTTTGAGAAAATAAATATCTGTTGTTTCAGCCTCCCAGTCTGTTACTTTGTTATGGCAGCCCTAGCAAATTAAAACAACATTTAGTATGGTTTTTCTGTGTTCCCTTTCACCATGTGCTGATACAGCATTTTTACTACCTTCATAACTTTTTTCTTTAAGATTTTATTTATTTGGGGGCGCCTGGGTGGCTCAGGTCATGATTCCAGAGTCCTGGGATCGAGTCCCACATTGGGCTCCTGGCTCATCGGGAAGTCTGCTTCTCCCTCTGACAATCTCCCCTGTCATGCTGTTTCTCTCTCTCTCTCTCAAATAAATAAGATCTTTAAAAAAAAATTTTATTTGTCAGAGAGAGAGAGAGAGCAAGCGCACAAGCAGGGGGAGTGGCAGGCAGAGGGAGAAGCAGGCTCCTTGCTGAGCAAGGAGCCCGATGTGGGACTCGATTTATATGAGAGAGAGAGAGAGTGCACAAGCAGGGGAGGGGCAGAGGCAGAAGGAGAAGCAGGCTTACCCCCTGAGCAGGGAGCCCAATGCCGGATTCGATCCCAGGACCCTGTGATCATGACCTGAGCCAAAGGCAGACGCTTAACCAACTGAGCCATTCAGGTGTCCCCCTTCATACCTGTTTAATAAAAAGAATAGTGCTGTCATTCTACTTTTCAGAATTTGGGGGTAATATTAGCTAGTTATTTGAATTTGTATTCCATACCAGGCCCTGTGCCAAGTACCTAAATAGGACATGATTAGCTTGCTAAGGTCACAGAGCTAGGATGTGGGGATGGATGGGTGAGATTTGAACCAAAACATTGATTCCAAGATCCAAATCCTTTATACTTTCCCACTGGCTCTTTTTTTCCACATCCAAATTTAGACTCATTTCTCATAGTTTTTCTTTTCTTTTCTTTTTTTTAATTTTATTTATTTGACAGAGAGAGACACAGTGAGAGAGGGAACACAAGCAGGGGGAGTGGGAGAGGGAGAAGCAGGCCTCCCGCTGAGCAGGGAGCCCCATGCGGGGCTCGATCCCAGGATGCTGGGATCATGACTTGAGCCGAAGGCAGCCACTTAATGACTGAGCCACCCAGGCACCCCAAGTGTTTATTTCTTTTTAAGAGGAATTGGAATAAACCTCTTAACTGTAAAGAATGAACAGTATTTGTTCTTCTATTAAGGGATAAGACTTTTTTCTAACAAGTTGCTAGAATAGAGCTATTTATTGGTACCACATCCAAAATAAAAATAGCATTATTGACTTTTCTTTTTTTAAATAACTTTTTTGCTCTATTCTGTTCACGTGTGACAGCTCCAAACCCACAACTTGGTTTTTCTCTTTTGACTTTGTTATTCTTTCATTATCTATGTCAACAGAAACTTTCTCCCACTAATATATGCAATTTGATCCTCATCCCATAGATCCTCAAAGATCATGGCTCTCCAGCACCAGCACCTGGGTCCTCCCCTTTGACTGTACCCATGTCTGTCTGTGCTGGGACTCTGCCCTGGTCCCATCACCCCTGAGGTGCCTTAGGCCAGAAATGCCAAGCAGGCTCGATCCAAACTGCACATAGGTGAACAAATGTTTCCTTTCAAACCCTGTTATTTGCCCTGTAAATATGGCCCTTATGGGGATGGTCAGTTGGAAGTCTCACCTGAGGGGAGGATGCTCTGCCCAGGCCTCTCAATCGGGACTCCAACCTGACTGTTTCCATCGGGTTCCCTTGCTGTTGAGGTTGGATGTTGTAAGTACCCAATTTGATGTAACTTTGCCTTATTCTCACTCATTGCCTACTATTACCTTCATCCATGTGTAGATTCCTTTCCTCTCCTGTTTTTGTTAGGTTTTATAATAATAATAAAGTTTTCTTTCCTTTTCAAAGCTGAAACACGGCTGTTGTGAATCTTTTGTTCAGAACACCATCTCAGCATTATTGACTTTTCTTTCTTTTTTTTTTTAAGATTTTATTTATTTGTCAAAGAGAGAGAGTACAAGCAGGGAGGGTAGCAGGCAGAGGGAGAAGCAGGCTCTCCACTAAGCAAGGAGCCCCATGCATGCATGTGGGACTCCATCCCAGGACTCTGGGATCATGACCTGAGCCGAAGGCAGATGTTTAACCATCTGAGCCACCCAGTAGTCCCATTATTGACTTTTCTGATGGTAAATGTACTTACATGCTCAATATTTTTAAAAAATAAGGCAATATATAAAGTATTAAAATAATTACTTAAAAATCTCACTGCCCATGTTACCTTCAAGTAGCTTTCCATTACTCCAAATATTTTTCTATTTTATTTTTTTCTATTATTTTAGTAAACATTTTATGGATACATAGCATTCATACAAAAACACACACAAAGTGTGAAAAAATCCATCAGACGATATAAAGGGAACACATCCATTTAGCCAGCACCCAGAGAAGAAACTACCAGTTCTCCAGTAGCCTCTATTTGCACCCTCCCCAGGGATAACTACTATTTTGACTTAAATATAAATGGAATTACTGTAAGATTTATCCATGTTACGAGTGTTGTATGAGTAAACCATAATTTAGTTTTCTATTCTGTCTGTGTACATTTTGGTTGTTTCCTCTTTGGGCTTATAATGAAGAGTGCTACTCTGAAGGTTCTTATACATGACTTGGTGCATGCATATATGCATTTCTATTGAGTATATATCTAGGATTGGAATTGCTGGGTTATAGGATGTGCACAAGTTCAAATTGCCAAGGTGATTGAACCAATTTACATTCCTTCTAGCAATGTATGAGATTTTGAATTGCTCTACATCTTTCTCAACTGTCAGAATTTTCATTTTGGAGAATTTGGGTATTAGTGCTATTGCACTCAATTTAAAAAAAATTTAGTTGCTTAATTGGTTACAATTTACATACTATAAAATTTTGAATGGACAACTCAGTTTTCTTTAGTAAATTTTTGAGTTGTTCCACCATCACCACAGAGCAGTTTTTGAACATTTCCTTCACTCCAGAAAATTCCCTTGTGCCCCTTTGTAGTCAGTTATCACTGTCTCTAGCCTCAGACAAACAATCTAATTTCTGTCTCTGCAAAGTTGCCTTCTCTGAACATTTGGTATAA